AAAAGCACATAAATGGAATTGTTATTCTGTTGCTTATATAATTCAAAATGAGTCAAGTAATGTTCATGATAAAAGGGTATACCCAGTGCACGAAACTCCGGCTTAAGTGGGGTCTGGAGTAATATTCATGATGGTATTCAAAAAAAAAAAAATGTCTCACTCAATGCATTTTAAAGTAAAGTCTACTCAACAGTTATATTGAAGAGAGTTGTCATCATCATGATTTGCTAATTTTTGTAGAATCACAATCTTAAATGACCATCATGTTTTCAAATGCTAGGAAACTTAGAATTTTGTCATCTTTTATTTCATAGTATTAAACCTTGAAAAGAAAAATAAACCATAATACTATATGAGGCTCAGTCTTTACCTTGGGCATCATAAATTCTATATTGAAATTTTAGGATTGAAGTTTTCACACATTTCAATTTGGACAAAGAAAAGGAAATTTTGAATCAAAATTGAAAATCATAAGCCACCTTTGTCTCTCCCTTTCTTTTTTATTATCTGTTTTCAAATGTCTGATTTTGTGACCTTTTTTTTTTACTATTATGTCGCTTTCTCTAATTTGGAAAGTAGTTAATAGACGGTGCTCTTCCTTATTAATGAGACCATTTCGTAACCTGTCATCTGACATCTATGATTCAAAATACCTAAAAAATTCAGGTGAAAGGAATTTTGAAAGACAGGAAGATTGTAAGAGCATCTCCAATGGTTGTTGCTATATTGGGGTTGCTATTGCTATAATTTGGCAATGAATAGTGTTATTTTGCCAAATTATAACAATGGTGCTCCAATGGTCATTTGCTATTTTTGGCAAATCTCAACCAACTTTCCCTCCAACTTTGTAGGTGTTGTTTGGATATAGGTTTTTTGTGATTTTATTTTTGTTTATTTTTTTGTCTTTTGTGACATTTTTTTACCTGTTTGTTAAAAAAATTATATATTTATATTATTCCCAACTAGACAAATATCAAAAATAAAAAAAAAAAATTGGAAAAATTGAAAAATTTATATTATAATGTCTTTTTATTATAATAAAATTATCTTTATTTAATATCAGCTAATGTATTTTATCTTTTTATTGCCTTCATTTGAAAAAATATATTTATTTTTTTGCATTATACTTTATTGAAAATATTAAATAATAATACAAATTAGTGAACATTATATATTGAAAAAATAATATTACATTGTGAAGTACAAAATACTCAAAAATAAAAATAAAAACATGAAATTTCGTTACAAAATAAAAATTACATTGCAAATAAAGACTAACAATTACATCAAAAAATAAATGATATTGCAAATTTAAAAAATACATTATCCCGTAATTATTCATCAGGAGGTAGGGGGAAATAAAAATTTGGGCTACTCACATTTGAGGACCACTTGGCGAAATTCTCATTTTTTCGCATTGTGTAATACGCTTTCATCTGAGGATCCAAATGAGAAATGTCCATAGTTATTATTTGGTGTTCTTCCTTTCTAATCTCAAACTCATGTTTTTGCATCTCAAGTTCTTTCATCTGCTGTAGTGCTTGAATCCTTTTTTCTTCTCTTTCCTCTTTTTTCTTTTCTTTCTCAGCAAGGTGGAGGTTAAATGTGTCTAATTGTGTACTCATTTTTTGGACTTCAGTTTCAATGACTTGATTTCTCCGAAATAATTCTTTTGCAGATTTCCTACCCATCGGCCTTTTACCCCTTGCAGAGACATTGCCCTCACCAACAGTTGGATTGTTACAAACACTTGGACTTGTGTCATCTTCAAGAGAAATGCAATTATCCATAGGGGAATCGGGGGCTGAATCAGGGGAAAATGGTGTATGTATTCTTGACTTCACCGTATTCGTAGGAGTTACATCTTGCCACCTGATATTGTTTTGCAAGATTGGCTAACAATGTTCAAAAGTAAAATATTTGTTTTCATCTTGATGGTATAAAAGTTTTGCTTGAAGCATCTGTATCAATAAAAATTAAATTAATTCATTAGTTAATTTTTAAACAAGATGAAAGGCAAAATCTTACTATATCAACTTGTGACATCCCATTTGGGTGTAGATTTTCGACTTGCGCTAAACATCCACGAAATTTGTTAGAACATTTCATGATTGTACCCCATCGAGATTGGATAAAAACTTGTGTTCTTGACTGATCATTCTGAAGGGAGTAATAATTTTCATAAATTCTCCCCCAAAAGTGAGTATAAAATTGTGAATTGCCAACAATTGGATCTTCAAAAATGTGACACCAAGCTTTACAAAGTGTCGTATCTTTAGCAATGGTGAATGATTTTCCTCTTTTTATTTTTGATGAACCTTCCATACCGATTGTGTAAAGAAAATATAAATAAAAATGTAATTTAGAAAGTTTGTTGTGAAATGAAATTAAGTAAAAAGAGAGGAGAGAAGGTTTGTATTTATAGAAAAAAAGAGCCGTTTTTTTATAGCCGTTTTAACATAAAAATATGACCGTTTATATCCGTTGTGGATATGTTTCACTTATGTTTTTATTTTTTTTTTTTTTTTTTAATGAATAAAGTAGCACACTTGGATCTCAGCCGTTGGATTATTATTAATCAACGGCTGAGATCAATGGGATAGAGCACACTTCGGATGATTTCACAAATTCCCATAATTGAAAGTTTCCAGATCTACTCTTAACTTCAGAGATCAATAGGATAGAGCACAGCTTCGAAACTTCAGAGAGAGAGAGAGAGCACAACTTCGAAACAAACTTCGGATGAGTGAAGATCAGAGGGAGAGAGCTTCGGATCTCTGCTTCGGATCATCCTCTTCAGATCAGCTATGGATCAGCATCTCCTCCTCTTCCACTTTATCTTCGAAGCAATGATCATCCACTTCATCTTCGGATCAATGATCATCCCCTATCTTCTCTCATCTGAAGCTCTCTCTCTCTCTCTCTCTCTCTTCAACCCTCTTCTCCAACCCTTTTCAACCCTCAGCTTCAACCCTTTTCGATCTGAAGAAAAATACCTGGTATGAAATTTGGATCGATCTGTCGAAAAATACCTCAAAAAATGGAAGCTGTAGCCCCAGAAGAAATACCTCGAAAAATACCAGGTATGAAATTTGGATCGAATCCAGAATTTCTTCAGATCGATCCTCTTCGGGTCATCCTCTTCAGAATTTCATACCATCTTCGGATCAATGGAAGTCGTAGCCCCCATCAAATCCAGATATTTTTCTTTGGATTATTTGAGATTATAATGGATTATTTGAGAAATTAATCGATTATTTGAGAAATTAATTTGAGATTATTTATGTTGGTATTCTTGAAATTTTTTGGTATGACATTATTTGTGAATTCTAAAATTTTGATATGAATTCTAAAATTTTGATATGGAAAGGTGAACCAGGGGCTTCCTGAAATTATTTATGAATTCTGGTATGAATTTGATGAATTTGATGAAATTTTTTAAATCTGTTTTTGGTATGAATTTGATGAATTTGCTGAATATTGATGAATTCTAGAATATTGATGAATTCTTGTTCATTCTTGTTCAATATTTTTATATAAAACTTCATGCGTTCTGGAAAATCCCAACTGAAAGGGAAGGAGGGAAGAAAGAAAACAGTTTAATTTTGGGTGGCTCGGCAGATTTGGCAGCTGTTATAGCATGCCATTGGAGAAGCCAAGATTGCCCAAGCTGCTATATTATGGCTTTGGCAGCTAATTTAGCCATTCATTGGAGATGCTCTAACACTAGTCGATGCAAACATGCAGGGAAACTATGTTGAAGATGAGGTGGAGCAATGGCTTTGCTCTGCACACTGAGCTACCTAATGGAACATCCCAAGATGTCGGAAGTTATCAGCATGCTTGAAGGTGATGGCTTGGCGGAGAGGTGGGAAGAGTGGCAGAATGAGGAGATGTTCCAGCAAGAGTTCGTCAATATCTACCACCAAAATAATGATTTCAACAACCTTCCCGACTCCACTCCCAACCTCCCTCCAGAAGAATTGTCCGGTCCCAGATGATCTTTTAAATGGATTTTGTTTTCAGCATACAAAGAAGTCTTTTTGAGTCCCACTCTTTATTCAAATGTGATATGTACCATCTGTGTATATGATTTCTCCTCTTTAGCTTTGTTTTTTTTAGCTCGGTTTATATGACGATGATTATGAATTTTTAGGTATAAGAAAAAACATGGCTGGAAAGGCTATGTAATGTGTCCAATGAGTATATATTTTATACACCAATAAATACATTTTGTTTTTAGTCTGAAAGCAAATTATAACACTTGAGCATTTGTGATTACTGATTATAGCTTTGTTAAGCGATTGGAAACTTTGAATATAGCTTGGAAGATTGAAAGCAAAGGGATATCTCTAAAATTCGATGTACTTCTTCAAGTGTGGGACACATCTCATGTTTGTTGAATCTAAGAATATGAATACGATAAAAAACGCTCTGCCAACGGAATCTACCTATGGAACGATCTTTGAAGAAGAGAGGGCTCAATACCCAGAAAAAAAAGACTTTTAAAAAAATGGATATGCACATAGAAGATCATTGTTGCAAAGAGGACCTTTCATCTCTCTCCCTCTCTCTCTCTCTTAACAAAATAACACACTTCATCCACCTTGTATCTAAATTTTTTAACAGTATAGCTGACACGGGGTTCTCTATACTCAAATTCTTTTGAGCACATTTGCCATAATAGAATGGGATGAAATAAAATGTTCATTTTAACTTTGCATCTTCTCTCTTATTTTGGGATGCCTTATTTAAGTGAAAATATTTTAAATGATTATTCTAACAAAATGGGATCGTGCCTATTCTTTCTACCAACTCATTTATTTCTTCTGAAACAGTCACATTCATTGAATTATATTTTAAGAATCCCATACTTAGAAATTTTTATAACTTACAATTCTTTGGGACAAGGGCTTTGGTTAACCGCTAGCATTCTTCCCCCAATATGTAAGATTAAGATGTAAGGAAGTTCGTTATAAAAATAAAGAAAACTATACTACAAATTTTTACTAGGAAAATACCAGTCCAGGAGTAGAGTAGAGAACAGAGATTGAGAGCGTCAGGGTGAGAGAGTGTGAGAGTGAGAGAGGCTTTGACTAAATCCCATCCACAAACGACTCTCTCTTCCCCCCTTCCCCACGGACCGTTGAATTCAATCTCTCTCTCTCTCTCTCTCTCTCTCTCTCTCTCTCTCTCTCTCTTTCTCTCTTCGGCATTCTCTCAGAATTTTCCCGGGAACGTGAAAGAAAATTTCCTTAACTACCTTCAGCGTCAAAGGCTGCTCCAAACAGTTCCCCTCCGGTGAGCTCCGGCGACGACTTGCCGTTCCGATTCCCTTTTTCAATCAACCGACAGGTGCCAATGTTTGGCTACCAGGGGATTTAGATTTCCTTCAACCAAAAATTTGATGTTGAGTGTTTTTGAGTTTTTTTTTTTTAATTACTAGTTCTAAGAGTTGATGAGGAATATATAGGTTTTTAGCTGAAGCAATTGTTGTGGCAATGGATCGAGCGGTCTCGGCGATCTCACCCTCGGCTTTTCTTTGTCTATTTCTTGTTTTTTCTCGGTTATTTCAGGCCTCTGGTAATCCGGAAGGTGAGTTCCACTCTGTTAGCTTCGATTTTATGTTGGTTTTGACATTTTCTTCGCGTCAATTTGAGTCAATGTTTCTTGGATTGTGTTCTGCTTGCATTGAACTTTGCATAATCAAATTCAGCAACCACTGAACTTTTAATGGATTTATTCAGTTCTGAGCTTGGAATCATTACGTGAAACTCGGAAAATAACTGAAATAAGAATTTACAGTTCATTTATTCAATTATTTATTGAATTCATTCAAAAATTCAAGTACTTAGCCTTACTAGTGCAATTTTAAAATTTAATTTCATAAAAAATTAAAAATTAAAAAAAAAATACTAGAAGTTCAATGGTGTATTCTTCTTATTGAAGTGCTCCCCTAATAGCCGTGGAGCCTGTTTGATTAGTAGGACTAATAGTGAGGGGATTAACAATTCATGAGATTAGTGTAGGATTAGTTATCCAGTTGGATTAGTGAGGTACATAATTCCCTCTTGTCCATGTTTGTTTCGCAATAGATATGGAAATATATAATCTCAATTATATGTATGTTTTATATTATTAGTTGAAGGATTAAAAAATCTGTCAATTTTATTGGATAGAATGGCCACTGGATTCTAATTTGAATAATAAAATTGGAAACCACACAATGGAATGCGAGTGCCATGAATTAATAATCCTAAACTTATGCTATAATCCGCTAATCAAACAAGGCCTTGATGTTGTATTTAGTAACCTTGAATTAAGTTGTAGAATTTGAAATCTTTATGTTATGGTATGAGTGTTAGTCTGTTAGACAATTTAGTAGCTTACCTCTTCTTGGGATTTGTTTTGGTTGATGATGTTTGTTAGAATTATGGTGAAAGTGAAATATTGTATTGAGATTGATATAACTATTACAAGTGGTAGCCTATTTGTAGGGTTGCATAGACTGATCAACGAAGAAACCTAGAGTGCTAATCATTTAATAACTTAAGCAAGGAAATAGGTAAATATAGGAATAGAATATCTTGGAAATATTCTCTAACAATGTTAATGCATTTGACAAGTACCTGATGATTGCCTCTTTCATGAAGAACAGGCGATGCCTTGAATGCGCTGAAGACCAACTTAGCTGATCCTAATAATGTTCTGCAAAGTTGGGACGCTACACTTGTCAATCCCTGCACTTGGTTTCACGTAACGTGCAACAGTGAGAACAGCGTTACAAGAGTGTAAGTTGCTAACATCTGTGACAATTCTTGTGATGTAACTTGCTATTTGAAACTATTGATGTTTTCGTACTACCATTTTCAGTGGTGTGATTGATGATGAATTTTGCTTCCATTCGTGTACACCCAGTGATCTTGGAAATGCAAACTTGTCTGGTCAACTGGTTTCACAACTCGGAGTGCTTCTGAATTTGCAGTACTTGTAAGTCGTACTTCAGTACTACTTTATCTCATACTAATTTATCACTTGTTTCATAAACTTTAGTCTTATTCTTATATCTACCTTTTGAGAATATGAGGATTTACTTTAAAGATGATGGGTATGTTTGGTTTGTGTTTGAGAGATGTGTTTTAGAGATAAAAAGTACGAAAAATTGTTTGGTTTGGTTTTTTTCAAAAGATGTTTTAGAAAATTATTTTGAGAGAGAGTTTTGGAAAAAGTGATTGATTTGATGTGTGTGAGAGAGAGATTTGTTTAGAAAATTTGTTTGGTTTACAAGTTTTGAGAAATTTTTTTGGGAAAATTTGTTTGGTTTGATTATTTTTAAAAACTTATTTGTAGAGAAAATTTCCCAAAAAATTTTCACAAATACAAACCAAACGAACCCGATATCTTTGTATTAAAGTTTCAATAACATGAACTTTGGTAACTCTTTGAAAGTCTTAATAGTTGATTGTATAATGTAAGCTTCTTATTACTGATTGCATAGCTAATAAACGTAACAAGTTTTGGGTCATAAATTTCTTCCCTCTCTGTAGTTGTTAACAAAAATATAATTCAGTTTTTGACAAAAATTAACTCTGCTTTGGTGGAACTCAATTACTTTCTATATGTCATAGTTTTTGAATCCTCTGTTGAATCTTTCATTGTGCTGTATTCAACACACTTGAGACCTTAGTTTCATTCCCTTGATTTGGCTATCTAGATATCATCATTTTATGTATAAAGACAACCCTGAAAACATGCTCTTCCACACATACATGCACATGATAATGGAGAATACATGATATACATGATATTGTTCAGCTTTTCTGGTTAAAAAGGAACAAATGACTAGAGGGGCATATTCTTGTGCTTTGAATGATTTGGGATACCTCTGATTGGGCATTCCCAGGTGAGTTCATGTTTAGTGTTTTGTTTTATTGGCTTCCATTGTAACCCCCCACAAAAAATAAATAAATAAATCAGTATTGCAATGCTAGCTTTTGGAGTCATGTACAACTTCATCGCAAAAGAGCTAAATATGTTTTGACTTCCCTTTAAAGCATTTGTCTTGACTTCTTGGTTAATATTTTGTACTGATTGTGATCATGTGCATCTTTTACTTTGATGAAGCAACTAACCTCTAGAAAGAAACTCCAGTTTCCTAGCAGCTTATTGTGCTAAGTTATCTTTTAAAAATGGGTGGTTCATAGTTGGTGGCTTGAGCCCTTTTCTGTTCCACTTGTATTCATTATCTTGATATTGCTGCACAATTTTTCTCCCATTAATAACATGATCATCTTTTGTTTGTCCCTTTGGTTTGCATATTATTAACATGTTTCTTGACAGGGAACTTTATAGCAACAACATAAGTGGAAGAATTCCTATTGAGCTTGGCAATTTGAGAAGTTTGGTGAGCTTGGATCTTTACTTGAACAATTTGAATGGTATCATCCCGGACACATTGGGCAGGCTTCAGAAATTACGTTTCCTGTATGAATTACATATCCTTCATCTTTTTTACTTTTGTTATTAAATTTATTGTGCATCTGTTTAAGTTTACTATTATTGTATTTCAATTTTCTTATTACAAGGTTTTCTCAAAAGTGGGTTGCTTATGCGTTGATATATGGGAATATGGATACAGTGGCGTTGTTTTAGGTTTTTGGTGATTTCTTAAAGAATATACTCTCATGATTTCTCTGTCTTTTTTTTTTATTTTTATGTATATTTAGAAAAATGCATGAAAACAAATTATTCAAGTTATTCAGTCCAAGATATTGCATGTTTGATTGAAATCAACCTCAAAGATGGAAATCCCATTGTTGTCAAGATGTCTAGATTAATATACAGTAAGACTAGGTATTTTGGTGATAAATGCATTGATTTTTACTTTTTCTTAGTAAAATTATTAAAATGCATACTGATCAATGACTAAGAAATAGCATCCTCTTGATAATGGCAAATAGTGCCGAAGGGCTATTTGTTTTAATCATATGTTACTTTATTTTGTGCATCTACTAGTTGTTCGTACATTGCAGATCAATTTTCTTCCGAAATTGGATTATATTGCACAGAGAGCTCTTATTGATCACATATTGCATGTATTATGTGCATATTGCATGTATTATGTACATCTACTAGCATTGATCAGCCATGTCCCTAGGAATTTTATTGATATACCATTTTGATTGTTTGGAATGTACTGATGCCTGGTCCTTGTATTTATTTGCAAGGATAGACGGCTTAACAACAACACTTTGTCTGGAACTCTTCCTATGTCATTGACTACTATCAATTCACTTCAAGTCCTGTGAGTACCAAGTTGACATGTTCTTATTTTTCCTTTTTGGTGAATAATTAAAGTTTTTCTTTTTTTTATTTCTTTTTTTGATTAGTTTTAGTTGGCGTAAACTAACTACAAGAATATGGTATGGCTTCTTGCCATTTGGTATACAGTGATCTTTCAAACAATCACTTAACGGGAGTTATCCCAGTGAATGGCTCCTTTCAACTTTTTACTTCCCTCAGGTTTGTTGCTAATAACATTATTTTCCATTCTAGTGGAGTCGGGTGACTCATCTAGACATATGCTGACCACTATTCTTTCATTTTTCAGTTTTCGAAATAATAATTTTATAATTTCTCCACCTCCTCCACCGCCTCCATTTTTGCCGCCACCCCCATCTACTGCTTCAGGTTTGTTTCATTGTATCCTAGGTTGTTGCTGATATTGGGTTCTGTTCTGTTTGTCCAACACTTTCAATTCCTCAATTCTTAAATTATAAACTTCGTTCCATGCTGCCTGTTCAGACCTTGTCACAGATGACTTGGCTGGATTTGTAATTTGTCTTTCTAACTTCAAAATTAAGTATCTGATACTCCGAAATTAATAAAAAATTAATTAAGAAGTATTTGATACGTATCCGCAAGTATCCAAGGAGTATCGGTATCTAATTAATATCCTATACGGATACGTCTCCCTTTTTGAAGTATCCGTGCTTCATAGTTTATGATGCACAACCAATACTTAGTTTCCTAGGGAAACCTCCATGCTTTGATCTTTTTTATTTGTCCGAGTGTTGTTCAATTTTCAGCTCTCTTTAGATTAGCGACTTATGATATGTTGCTAAAGTTAGAATCTAATTTTTCCACTAGACTCTGCACCTGGATTGTCCAAACCATGGCATTATTTTATTCCATTGAATTGTCTTCCTATCAAAATTTTTAGTTGTGAAGGGAATGCACAATAAGAGTGAACTTACTAATTTATGATTGCAAATCTTATTCCAATAGGTAGCAGTGCCACTGGAGCCATTGCTGGAGAAGTTGCTGCTGGTGCTGCCCTGTTGTTTGCTGCCCCTGCAATCACACTTGCTTGGTGGCGGCGAAGGAAACCAGAGGATAGCTTCTTTGATGTACCTGGTTAGTGGACCAATTTGAAAATGCCTTTAATTGATTTTTATTTATATGTTTTTTTGAACATGTCTAAAATTGATTGTTACGGTGTTATATAATGCATTTCCCCTCTCTTTGCAGCTGAAGAGGATCCAGAAGTTCATCTAGGACAGCTCAAGAGGTTTTCTTTGCGTGAACTACAAGTTGCAACTGATAGTTTTAGCAACATAAATATTCTAGGAAGAGGTGGGTTTGGTAAGGTATACAAAGGACGATTGGCCAATGGCTCTCTAGTGGCAGTAAAGAGACTAAAAGAGGAACACATTCAGGGTGGGGAGCTGCAGTTCCAAACAGAAGTGGAAATCATCAGCATGGCCGTCCATCGAAATTTACTGCGTTTGCGTGGCTTTTGCATGACACCGACAGAACGATTGCTTGTTTATCCCTTTATGTTTAATGGAAGTGTTGCCTCATGTTTAAGAGGTACTACTTGCATGCGTGTTCATATGCTTCCATTTTTTAATTATTTGTCAAGTATTATATTCATTAGAACTTTTAGTAGACTTAATACAATATGCTTTATTTCTATTCCAATTCCCAATTTGATACCAAGAGAAAAGGTTTGTTTAGTTTGATTTTTTAAAAACAGTTTTGTGACACCCTATGTGGTTTCAATTTTTTGAATTTTAATTTTCTGAAAATTTATATTTATATTTTTCGCATTTTTTTTATTTTTTGTTTTTAGTGAATTTTTTTAATATTTGAATTTTTTTTTTTTTTTTAACTTTTTAGATGCACCTAATTTACATGTATCTAGAAAGTAAAATATTTGTAAAACAATATTTAAAAAAATCAATAAATACACAAAAATACAAAAATGTTTTTGAGGCTTTTTTTTTTTTTTTTGTGTATTTTTTTTTTTTTTGTGTAGTGAATTTTTTTAAGATTTTTTTTTTCACAAATATTACACTTTTTAATTGTATTTACATTAAGTGCATCTAAAAAGTACAAATTTTGCTTAAAATATTTTTAAAAATTCACAAAAAACAAAAAATTCTAAAAATAAAAAACTCAATTTTCAGAAAATGGGAGAAAATTTTCATATTTTAGTTTTTTTTAAATACTTTTTTGATGCATCTAAAAAGTTTTAAAATAAAAAAAAAAAAAAAAAAAAAAAAAAAAAAAGAAAAAAAAAAAAAAAAAAAAAAAAAGAGAGGGGGGGGGGGGGGGGGGGGTTTCATATTTTTTTTTGTCTTTAGTGATTTATTTTTATTTATTTATTTTATTTTTTCAGATTTCTTCACATATACTTTACTTTTAGGTGCTAACACCCAAAGTTTTTGAGCAATGTTGAAATTTTTTTAAATCAATATTCCCAACCCTGCTTAATCTCTACGATGTTTCCATGATCTCATTGCTTCATTGTTGTAGAGCGACCTGATTCACAACCCCCACTTGATTGGCCCAAAAGGAAGCGAATTGCATTGGGCACCGCAAGAGGCCTTGCATATTTGCACGATCATTGCAACCCGAAGATAATTCACCGTGACGTCAAAGCTGCAAATATATTGTTGGATGAGGAATTCGAAGCAGTTGTTGGAGACTTTGGGTTAGCGAAACTAATGGATTACAAGGATACACATGTTACCACTGCTGTACGTGGTACAATTGGGCATATTGCTCCCGAGTACCTCTCCACTGGAAAGTCTTCAGAGAAAACTGATGTTTTTGGATATGGAGTCATGCTTCTGGAGCTCATCACTGGACAGAGGGCTTTTGATCTTGCTCGACTTGCCAATGACGACGACGAAGTTATGTTGCTTGATTGGGTAATCATTTATTTACCTCATACGATCTGTTTTCATTACGTAACTAGGGTACTTGAGTTGGCTGTTTTCATACCATTCTTTGAGTTCATCTTACAAGCCCTTCTGTAAAAAATCTGCTGCCAATTTGCTGGCTATAAGGTTTGTCAAAAGCACATGAATAGAACTGTTATTCTGTTGCTTATATAATTCAAAATGAGTCTAGCAATGTTCATGATGGTATTCAAAAAAAAAAAAAAAATGTCTCGCTCAATACATTTTGAAGTAAAGTCCACTCAACAGTTACATTGAAGAAATGTGTCATCATGGTGATTTGCTGATTTTTACAGTATCACAATCTTAAATGACCATCATGTTTTCAAATGCTAGGAAACTTGGAATTTAGACATCTTTTATTTCATAGTATTGAACCTTGAAAAGAAAAATACACCATAATACTATCTTTTATTTCATAGTATTGAACCTTGAAAAGAAAAATACACCATAATACTATATGAGGCTCAGTCTTTACCTTGGACACCATAAATTTTATATTGAAATTTTAGGATTGAAGTTTTCACACATTCCAATTTGGACAAAGAAAAGGAAATTTTGAATAAAAATTGAAAATCATAAGCTGCCTTTGTCTCTCCGTTTCATTTTTGTTATCAATTTTCAAATGTCCGATTCTGTGACCTTTTCTTTTACTATTATGTTGCTTTCTCTAATTTGGAAAGTAGTTGATAGACGGTGCTCTTCCTTATTAATGAGATTGTTTCATAACCTATCATCTGACATCTGTTATTCAAAATACTTGAAAAATTCAGGTGAAAGGAATTCTGAAAGACAGGAAGGTTGAAACACTAGTCGATGCAGATATGCAGGGAAACTATGCCGAAGATGAGGTGGAGCAACTTATCCAGGTGGCTCTACTTTGCACACTGAGCTCCCCAATGGAACGTCCCAAGATGTCGGAAGTTGTCAAAATGCTCGAAGGCAATGGGTTGGCAGAGAGGTGGGAAGAATGGCAAAAGGAGGAGATGTTCCAGCAAGAGTTTGTCAATATCTACCACCAAAATAACAATTTCAACATCCTTTCTGACTCCACTCCCAACCTCCCTCCAGAAGAATTGTCTGGTCCCAGATGATCTTTTAAATGGATTTTGTTTTCGGCATACAAAGAAGTCTCTTGGAGTCCCACTCTTTATTCAAATGTGATATATACGATCTGTGTATATGATTTCTCCTCTTTAGCCTTTTTTTTTTAGCTCGGTTTATATGACGATGATTATGAATTTTTAGGTATAAGCAAAAACATGGTTGGAAAGGTTATGTAATGTGTCCAATGAGTATATATTTTATACACCAATAAATACATTTTGTTTTTAGTCTGAAAGCAAATTATAACACTTGAGCATTTGTGATTACTAATTATAGCTTTGTTAAGCGTTTGGAATCTCTGAATATAGCTTGGAAGATTGAAAACAAAGGGACATCTCTAAAATTCGATGTACTTCTTCAAGTGTGGGACACATCTCATGTTTGCCGAATTTAAGAATATGAATGAGATTAAAAATGCTGTGTCGAGGCTCCACGGAATCTACCGATTGAACGATCTTTGACGAAGAGATGGCTCAATACCCAGAAAAAAGATTTTTAAAAAAAATGGCTATGCACTTAAAAGATGTAGCCATTGTTGCAAAAAGGGCATTTCATCTCTCTCCCTCTCTCTCTCTCTCATGTTGACAAAATAACATACTTCATCCACCTTGTGTCTAAATTTTTTAACTCTATACCCAAATTCTTTTGAGAACATTTACTATTATAGAAAGGGCTGAAATAAAATGCCCATTTTAACTTTGTATTTTCTTTCTCTTGTTTGGTATGTTTTATTTAAGTGGAAATAGACTAACTGACTATTCCAATAAAATGTGATAATGTCTATTCCTTCCATCAACTCATTTATTTCTTCTAAAAGAGTCATTGAATAATATTTTGACAATCCCATACTATGAAATTTTTATGACTTACAATTCTTGTACTTCAAAATTTTTACAAGATTCGACAATTGTGACTTCTTTGAGAAGGGCTTTGGTTAAGGAAGTTGTTCGTTTCTGTAATAATGTTCAAACCCAGTCAAACTTTGGTAAAAGCCCTAGTTTTCTGTGTAGTATCTTCTGTTAGATCAAAAGTTGTTGTTTACCACCCAACCACAACAAAACAAAGAAAACAATACGAGAGAAAAGGGAAGACAACACGAAGTTGTACTTACTTTCTCATTCTTCATCAAAAAGATCATCATGAAATCGTACATCCACTTGCAAAATACAGGAAAGACAAGCATCAAAAAAATTATCATGCAATTGTAGTTACTTTCTCATTCTTCCATTGCAATTTGCCCAACATTAACCAACAAAATATCACCTGACCAAGAAAAGAAAGACGACATCCACCAAACTTCAGACTTGGAAAGAAGAGCACACTATGACTAGGAGACTAAAAAAACATCTAATTCAAAGAACCTGAGGAACCTAATTTCTGCTCAAAACTTTTATATTAACAAGGGGAGAGAGAATTCATACAACACTAGTTGGAAAAAGGATGGATGAAAATGACCTCAATTTTACAAACAAAAAAAGAAAAGAAAAGAAAAGAAAAGAAAAAAAGAACAGTATATTCTTCGTGAGACTAACAAGAAGCAGTTTCACTTTCTGCCACTGGTTCCAACTCTCGGTTTGCCTTTAACCTCTGACTCCTGCATCGTACGAGTAAACATAACATACGAGTAAGCATAACATCAGATCATTTCTGAACCATGCAATAAAACTGTGGTCATCACATGGAAAAGGAAATATCCTGTAGAAGAATGAATGATCATATCTCATATATCTTTTATTATTAGAGAAATAGGTTGTAGCTCGAAAAGTGCGGGGCTCGATTGGCCCGAATCGAAAATGGACGTAGTTTTCTCGAAAGCCCCGAGGCTCAATTGGCCCGAATCGCAAAACGATGTCGTTTTGCAAATTTTTTTTCTTTTCTTTCTTCCTTCTCTTTCGTATCTGAAACGGGGAGGGAGGAAGAGAGAGAGAGAGAGTGAGAGAAAGCGAGAGAAGAAAGAGAGGGAGGGCGATGCGACGATGGCGTGCGAGACGGTGATGGACAGTGATGGGCGACGGTGGACGGTGACGGGCGACGGTGGGTGCGAGATCTGTGTTGGCAACGGTGGAGGGTGATGGGCGACGGTGGGTGCGAGATCTGTTTGGTTTTTTTTTTTATTTTGATTTTGAAAATCTGTGTTTGATGATGATGATGTTGTGTAGATCTGTGTTTTTTGAAAATCTGTGTTTGATTTTGAAAATCTGTTTGATTTGTTTGGTTTGTTGTGGTAGATCTGTGTGTTGTGTTTGATGATGATGATGTTGTGTGTCCCCTCCCCTGCTCCATCTCTTCTTCTTCTTCTTCTTCTTTCTTCTTCATCCTCTCTATTTCAGAACAGAGCGAAGGAAAAAAAAAATAGCAAAATGACGGCGTTTTACAATTCGAGCCATTTCGAGCATCAAATTTTTCGAGCTACAAAACGGGACTGTCATTATTATACCTGTGGCAAGTGCAGGTAAATGTAGGTCTTTGCTGTTGATGGATTATGATTTTCTGCACCCTTACTCCAATCATAACACACCTATAAAAAAATAATAATAATAATAAACTAGAAAAAACAAGGCAAGAGGAGAAATTGACAGACTAAAAGCAGAAATAATAAGCAAGAGGTCCATGTACTGACAAAACATCTAGCTTTCTCAACCCACGTCAGACTGAAAATATGAGACATGAGGGCTTCTCAAGCCTTACTGGTTTTAGGTTTTGTTTTAGACATTGTGTCCCACAGACAAACTAATAATGCTATTTTCTTCACAAAACAAACAGCATTCCGTACATTTGCTAATCTTGCAGCATTCATGTAATTTGCATGGTATTTATGAAGCTTTAAATGAGTTCACCCCCAATATTCAAAAGGAAATAACCAAATAAGTGTTCCATTGCATGGGTAGAGATTTCAATCTTTATCCCAAATTATATTATTCCATTTCCCTAATGTGTGCATGAGGGCATGCTCTTGTACCTGTGTGTGTGTGCGCGTGTGTGTGAGAGAGAGAGAGAACATAGTTTGTTACACATTTTAGACAAGACATACCGAGTAAGCATATACCGAGCCATCATTGTTGAAAGCACTGCAAGGTATAGGTTGGCTGCACCTTGACATCGCCTGGATATTAACAAGACCAAGTTAGAAAAATTAATATCATATCCAGGCAGGACAGCTGCAATTTGTCAGTTTCACATGAACAAAAAAAAAAAGGGTTAACAGCATATCAGTGCAACATCTTTAGATAAGTAAAGGTAACAAGCATCTGGCCATGAATTGGTCAGTAGCCAACGAACTAAATCAGCAGTCTATTACAGGATGTATGTGCATTAAATAGAACAACAGTTAAGCAATTTGTAAAAATTTCACATTTAGTCAATGCGTCTTCAAAACACTATCATGTGCCATGTAAAGAAATAGTGTAGGATTTCTAGGGATTACATTTTTTTTTCTAAATGAGGAATGGCAAGTATAAAAGTACAAGGGTCAAGGAATGACAAGTATATTGAAAATCCAATCTATCGAAAATTTGACCTACCAATTGCTATTGGAACAAAATTGGAATGTGTTCATATGTTCGGAAAATACGACAACTCCATAGACCATGCAATCCGCTCAAAACTTGCATATAATATAACACATGCATGTGACATATCGTAAAATGCAAAAAAGAAATTGCTCAATCATGTAGGCATGGCATACATGTCCATAATAAGATATATCTGAATCAAACATAATGGTGAAAATATTCAGCTTTCAAAGCAGTTTGTATCTTTTTTAAAAGTTACAAGTCAAAACCTAAACCAATTGCACACAAAGTAAAACCAAGAACAGTTGTTAAAAAGTAGAGCAAGTAAATGAATTCCCATAATTAGTCAGAAATCTGGGACACCTTGAGTCTTTGTTTGCTATCCTTATCCCAAAAGTTAAAGGCACCATCAGATCCCGCAGTTGCAAACGTGTGATGTACCTGGGACAAGTGACAGCAAGTAAGATGCTGAGCAACAGTAATGAAAAATGCAGATAAGAAGAAAACAATTTAGCATCAAAGACACAATCTAATAGGTTCTCCAAGAGTTTGCTCTAAACCAGTTGTGAATACCTGGCATGACAAAAAGAAAAGTAGGGTTATCTAATAATTGAGGTTTACAAAACAACAAATCCAGAAGACAAATACATTATATTACAAATAACCTTCTGTACTAATCAAAAAATTTCTAATGGATCCTACCATGAAAGTCTGAGCAGTCCAGGTATAAGTTGGATCCTATTTCTAGTTTTGGACCTTAAACAACCTCCAACCATCCAGGTGACAACATATAAAAACCAATCAAATATAACCAAGAAGCATTTTCATCTGCCCAATTTCTAGATATCATTAAAAATGTTATTATCCAAGACCAAGACAGATGCAAATTTTTACTTGAATGCTCAAGAGGTGGCATGTGGAATTTAAAAATGTTATTAAATTCCACATTAGTCACAAAATGTATCAAATGCATACTGAAATCACTCTCTGATGGGTTGGCTTTCTTCAGGAAGATTCATGGGCTTAGTTAGTTTGGTAAACTAAAATAAGCACATGCCCTCTAACCTATTACCTACAGATTAAAGATCTCAATTATTGGAATCACTAGCTATTGTAAGATGAAATTCCAGTATTGGCATGTCAATAATGAACCTTACCATATTAAGTTAATAAATATCAAGGAATAGGAATTAGTATGATCATACAACAAATCACTGGAGGAGCACAGTTGAAGATCATTCAATGGCATGAAGCTGTTTGGAAAAACTTATTTACAGCTTTAAAAAATCATCTTACGCGCAGCTTCAAATAAGACTTTTTGAGCTTATGTGAACTTTTTGAACTGAAAAAGCAAATAAGTATGAAAACTGGAAAGTTTTACCAAATACCTAACTTTTCAAAGGACAACTGCCTAAGCATAAAATTCCAAATTTTAAGCTAAATAAGTTTTTAAAAAAAAAATGTTGCCAAATTACGTGCAAGGGAATGTGACAATATTTGATAGAAAATATTTTGCAAAGAGACATCTAATGGGAGTTGTTCGTGTTAGAATTTACCATCACCTACCACACACTTACCATCACCTACCACACACTCACCTACTACACTCACCTACTCCTCACCTACCACCACCTAACCTACATCTATATAATCAATCAATTGTAACAGAAGCATCAATAAATCAACATCAATCAATAATACATCTATTTTTTTTTACAGTTCGTAAAAGCAATATAGGAGAGATTAGTTTAGTGATGATTTACTTTCCTCTAATTTTGCAGTAATACTGAGTAGTCTTCCAACGTTTTAATTTAGACAGTATCAAACAGTTACAAAAGCTAACCAGCAATAATGATCAGCAACTTTAAATAGAAAAATTGCAGTTGCAAAGTAGGATCTTACAGGATGAAAGTTCAATGAGTTGACTGAATATATCTCATTGCCCTCTCTATGACATTTGAAAGTAAAGTTTTTACTTTGTTGCGAATCATCAAGATGGTGCACGCCTACCCTTCCCTCAATTGAGCCAACCTGAAGAGAAACAATACCAAATTCAACAGTCTTAGAATAACGATTCACAGTAACTATAATATAACTGAAATAGTTACAAATTTACAATGAAAAAATTATCAGGTTATTTTAATGCACATAACAACACAAATTTAGGATGAGAAAACATGTTTAATTCGAAGATTGGAAAGCCACAGATAGAGCAACATATATAATGAACACGAAAACCTGAAGCAAACCTATGGAAATGATTCCTAGAGGAGAGCTATACCACTGAATCAGAAAAAGGCATAACACAGGCTACAAAAATGATTTCATCTGACTTTTTAATAATCCAGGATGCATTGAGTCCAGTGCTGGTGCTAAGAAAAAAGAAAAGAAAAATAAATAAATCATGTATTTTCTGAAGGTAACACTTCCTTCATGTCTAGAGAGTATTGCTATCTCTCATGAGACAACATCATGTAAAATTCTTACCTGCCCTGAACGAGGTACAACCAGCTTACTAAAGCATTTAGCTCCAAATTGAAGGGACTTACTTAGGTGGTAAAGCATTAGATTCTCATATAACAATAATGAAGATCTTGTAATGCCTCTTGTATAGAACATTATGGATCCAAGAATAAAAACCATATTTACATGCATTAAGTGCACTAAGATCATCACAAGAACGCACATTACCACAGTTTTGGGAGGAGGAATGAAATAAAAGGGAGAACTTACCAAGAAACCTTGCTGATCAGGAAAGGCAGCAACACACCTTGTCTGATACTTCAGGGGTGAAGTGATCCTTTTAAACTCAGTCTGTTGTATTCAAAAGTGATTAATATTATCAATGTAGTGCAAATTTAAGGCAACAAATGAAGAAACAATCTCAGCAGTCATTGCAACAATGGAACTCAAAAAACTTGAATGAGAAAAAGTAGGGTAAGATTTTTTTTTTTTTTTGGGCAACTCTTGAGCATTTTTTATTGTTAAGGTAAAAAAAAATGCAAAACGTGACACAAGCTTCCTTTTAATTGCCATAGCACAGTATCAAAATGATAATCTAAATTTTAGCATTTTAAATCCCATTTTTAATATGCACTATAAGTAGCAAGTAATGGTGAGTTGGTCATGTCACCACAACAAAGGATACAATTTTGTGGTTAGTGGAGTCAAAGTCGCATCACAAAAAAGTTCTGCAGCATCCAGATAAATTAGCAACTAAGAAACCACATCTCACAGTGGTGGTTCACAGCAGAAGTGCATATTAATGAAGGTTTTAAAGGAAGCACCACCTTTGGGACGAATCAATCAGATATTGTTTGGACAAGATTGTGGCAGTGGGCCTCTATTTTCCACATTTCCAAAGTTGTTCTTTTTCTTTTTAAATGTTACAAATGATTGCAATATTTAGTGATTTTCTGTTTTAACAAACGTACCAGATTAGATATAAAAGATGATGATGAAGCAGTTACAAGAGAGAACCAATTTCTTTTTATAGCATGGCATGAGTTCCCTCAAAATTTTGTTTTAATCAGATACCTCTTTCAAAATTTCTAATAGAATTTATTATCCTAGCAAGGGTAAACTGGAAAACTTGGGCGGCCTATTATTGTGGAAGAGGCTACTATAGAAATAGTATGACTATCAATCACCCTTTTTTTTCTTTTTTTGATAAATGGATTTTTATTACCATAGCATCAAGAAGATACAAAAAGAATACAAAACCAACCCTACGAAGAGCAGGGGCCTAAATAACGATATCATCAACAAAGTCCAAAAGAACAAATAAATCAAGATTCACTCGTCCTAACACCCAGCTATACAAAATACCCAAGAATTGAGACTCTAAACGGGCTAAGGATTGAGTGCTTCCCTAAAAGATCTAACAATTCCGCTCCAACCACACCAACCACATCAAACAAAGGCACCGCCGCCGCCGCTTCCCAACTCGATCACCTCCCCCCCCAACAACGCAACACATCCATAACCTGCCTTGATTGAACCCACACCACGCCAAACAGAGAAAAAACAAGCACCAACAAACGAGATACAACCGGAAAATGAATCAACAAATGGTCTACTGTCTCCGCATCTGCACAACACATACAACACCAATTAACCAGAATATGATGCCGACGAATCAAATTATCAATAGTCAAGATCCAACCAAAAGCGGCTGTCCACACAAAGAAAGCCACCTTCGATGGAACACCAGAAACCCACACACCACGCCAAGGGAACACTCCCCCGCCACCACCACACAAGGATAAATAAAAAGACGAGACTGAAAAAACACCTTTAGCCCCAGGAACTCCCCAGACCACATCATCTTCCACCTCTCGACCTACCTGGGCCCCATACAAAAAGGTCATCAACTCCACCAACTACCCTACCTCCCAATCCTGAGTATGGCGACGAAGAACAATATCCCAAACCAACTCCGTACCATCTCTGGCCAAACAAGAAGCCACCAACACCTCCGGGTCCATCACCAACCGGTAGATCAAAGGAAAACGCTCATGAAGGGTAACCTCCCCACACCACTTTTCCTTCCAAAGCCGCACCTAAGCTCCATTGCCTACCCGAAACTGAACCCGCTCCCAGAATTGAACCCTCCCCAGCCAAATCCCCTTCCATGAGCCACACCCATGAGAGCCTCCCACCACCCTAGTACACCACTCGCCCCTCCCCAGGACCCCAACCCATACTTGGAGGCCACCACCCTGCACCACAAACGGTCCCGTTCCTTAGAAAACCGCCATAGCCACTTTCCCAACAAAGCCAAATTAAACTTACACAGCCTTCGCACCCCCGACCCCCCAGCCTTCTTAGAACAACAAACCTGCTCCCAATTAACGAGATGATACCGAAACCCCCCACCATCACTTCCCCACAAAAAATCACGCTACAGCCTCTTCAACTGTCGAGCCACCGACACAAGAATGACATGAACTGACATAAAATAAGTTGCGATACTACCCAACACACTCTTCACCAAGGTAAGCCTCCCCCTCTTAGACAAATGCAGCCTCTTCCACCCCGCAAGCCGGCACTGAACCCTTTCCAACACCCTATCCCACACCCCCTTCGCCTTATAAGGTGTCCCTGAAGGGAAACCTAAATAAGACACCAGCAAATGAGACACCTTGCAACCCAAAATAGCCGCCAAAGACGGAAGATGGACCACCTCCCCAATTGGAATCAAATCTAACTTTGCCAAATTGACCTTAAAACCTGAGACCACGTCGAAACATAGCAAAACACACCGCAAAAACCCCAGCTGTTTTGAATCAACCCCACAAAAAATCAAAATATCATCAACATACAAAATGAGAGAAATACCAACCCCATCTGCCACAAAAAAACCCTCCAACAAACCCGCATGCACCGCTCAAGACAACAACCGACTTAGTGCCTCCATGACCAGAATAAACAACAGAGGGAACAAAGGATCCTCCTGGCGCAAACCCCTAAACGTCTGGAAGTAACCTACCGACATCCCATTTACTAATACAGACATTCAAAATTCTCACCACATCCAAAATTTGTCGCCCACCCACAAAAGCATTTTGAGACTCCAACACTACCTCCCCCACTTGCAAACGAAGCCTATTAGCCAAAACTTTCGCCAACAACTTGTACACTACCCAACAAACTAATAGGACGAAACTGTCGAATATTCGTGGCCCCTCCCACCTTAGGAATCAAAGTAATAAAAGTCGCATTAAAGCTCTTCCCAAACTGTGCCATTACTGCCACCACAACGCCTTTTACAACCTCCCAGCAATGCTAGAAAAAAGACGTAGTAAAGCCATTCGGACCTAGAGCCTTATCACCACTCATCCCCTTCAAAGCATCTAACACCTCTTGTTCTGAAAACGGCTCTTCCATACTGGCCGAATCTGAAATCATACCAAAATCCAAACCATCTATCCCCGGATGCCACCCCTCCTCCGGCCGCCGAAACAAGTGCGCATAAAACCCAACAAACCCCATGCGAACCGCCTCCTCCTCCGTCAACTCCACCCCATTAATCCAAATCAGTCCAATCTGATTCACCCGTCTATGCGCATTTGCCATCTAATGGAAAAACTTTGTATTCCAATCCCCTTCTTTTAGCCACAGACAACAAGATTTCTGCCTGACATTGACCTCCTCCATCTGAGCAATTCGGGCAAAATTAGGCAAACACTCCTTACGAGACACCTCCTCATCAGCCAAACCCACATCAGCTTCCACAATATCCAAGGCCTACAATTGAGCCAACACCTCTGCCTTCTGCCCATCCAAATGGCCAAAAACCTCTTTATTCTGCCTTCAGCCATTTCAGTTTATGTGCCAACTTATGACTCGTAGAACCGGATACCACATAGCTATCCCACCATCGCTTCACCCTATCAGCAAACCCATCCGACCGGAGCCACATATTCTCAAAACAAAAAGGAGGACTCCACCAAATACCCCCACTATCCAATAGAATTGGCCAATGATTAGAAACTGACTGGGACAACCGTCACTGAACTGCCCCTGGAAAATGCTCCTCCCAATCTCTTGTTACCAGAAAACGATCAATCCGAGAAAAGACCCGTCCTCGAGACCATGTGTAATCCTCGCCCTGTAAAGGCATATCCACCAATTGCAACTCATCGATAAAATCAGAAAAAGTCCGGATCACCTGAAAACCGATCCCCACCAGACCTTTTCTCCCGGCTATCTCACCAAATTAAAATCACCCCCTACACACCAAGGTGACTCCCACCGAAACACAACACACGCTAACTCCTCCAGAAATGTCCGCCTCTTCCTACCCTGCATTAGACCATACACACCGATAAACACCCAACGGAAACCATCCTCCACACATCTGAACAAACAGGACACTGAGAATGCCCCAACCTCTATCTCCTCCCTCACCACCACCCGACTATCCCAACAAACAAGAACCCTCCCTGCCACACCTGACGCCAAAAGATACACCCAATCAAAACACTGACCACCCCAAATCTCCTATATGACATCCCTCCCCAGACACTCCATTTTGGCCTCCTGAAAACAAACCACATCTGCTTTTTCACCTCTCAGCAACGCTCCCACTGCCACACGCTTTTCCCTGTCATTCAAGCCACCCACATTCCAAGATAAAATCTCCAGTCTCATTTCAACAAAAGTCGTTTCTCCCTTCCACGCCTCCCTTTCTTCCCTTGCTCCCCAACACGACGATCATAATTAATCGAGCACTCTAAATTTCGCAGCTCCCTTTCCCCTTTCTGACGATAAGCCCCACTCCGAACCACATCTGTTGACGAGACCCTACTACGCCAAGACATCTCTATCGCCGAAAATAAACTCATAGCCTCTCCCTCGTGCCCATCAAAAGAAATTCCCAACAACTGACTCACCTTGCCAATTCTTTCCAAAACCCAATCAGAAACCTTCGAGGCTGAAGGCTCTAAACCCCCAAAGCATTCTCCAGCAAACGGCCCTCCTCCACCCGTCCCATCATGCAACATTGCAAGCGGCTGAAAAAAGCTAGGACTGGAAGCCTCCTTATCCCCGACCAAACCCAAACCAGCGTCTGAATCCTCCACCAAATCTTCCCACTTTTCAGACACTTGCGAAGACATGCCGCCCTCCACTTGTGACTCCCGCATCGAAACCACAGCCCAAACCGCACTCGCTAGAACTTCCTGTGAATGAAGCTCTGTCTCTACCCCAACCACACCAGTCAACCCCTCTGAAATCCTCTCCTCTAGAGTCGTCCCTACTGGACAGTCATAACCAACCTCCCCATCTCCCACCACTGACGGCGCAAGAACATATTGGAAGCCCCCCTCATACTAATCGACTGAGATGTCCACAGGCCCACACACAGGATCCGTCAAATGTAGCTCCGACGTTTGGCGAACTGTCCGACTCCCGTCGACAGTCGAAGTCGCCTCGCCTCCAAGCCCCAACGCTCCAGTCAGCGATCCGAAAACTCGTCGAATAGTAGGGTTCACGTTTCAAGAAACAATCCGACAAAATGGACCCCCGACAGTTGTGTGACGACTTGGGCCAAAACTAGGAGGCCGAATAACTGGGCCAAAGAGCCGATGACTCCACCGATGAGTGGGTCGCCTAACTAGCATAATTGGTCGAGCCAAAGGCTGTGTCCAAAACTACCATCATTTGAGAGGCCCAGTCCATTTAGCCGCCTGCCCAATCCATTTAGCCGCCCTTCCCTAAATTGATGACCAGCCCATTCTGCCTTGCCTCACTTTTAAATCCAGGCCCAAGTGAGTGACCCAGGCCCACTGCCCGCTGCCCAAAACCAACAGCTGCTCACCCATTAAGATAAGGCCGAGATCTTCGCACAAGATTATGCGCCGTGAATCTCGTGCGAGTAACAGAGCTCCGCTCCCTCGCCGGCCTCCTCATCTCTGGCAACCGCATATAACGCCGCCCCCCTGGTGACCACCAAGACTGACTTTGTCGCGTCCACCCCCAACCAGGATCGAAGCCCTCGAGCACCAAAGCTAGACCTTTCCAACTTCCATCCGCCGTCGGAATGAAGATCTGACAACGAGTGGGCCCCCACGACATAACCACCTACACCACACAGCCAATCTGCTCCGTCCTTAGCCAAGTGGCCACACTCCGGCGACCACCCGACACACGACCCAGAAACAAACCACAGTCCACCGCCGCCTCAGCTTGCTGTAAACGTGCAACCAACCACCGTATCTCAGCTCCAAACAGAACTATCTCACTGTGTCGATCGTGGCCGCGCTCCACCACTGACAGACGACGTCGATCTCTGGAATTCGTACCAATATCTTGAATCCCATAAGACTGTGAACCTAAAAACAACAACCGCCGGCGAGGACCATATTCCGGTACCAACAAAGGGTTGGCCATCAACAAGTTTTAACATACCCCACTTCCTCGAACATTTAACACAGGAACTAATCTCTAATCTCATATAGTTAACCATCTGTCATGAGTCTTGTGTGTTTAGCTTCTTCTTTTTCTTCTTCTTCTTATGTGTTTTCTTTAAATGAATGAAAGAAGATAGTCAAGAATCAATCACCCATTTTTTAATGATAAAAACAATTTGTTGCATCATGTGTAAACTAACTAAAGGTCATCTATCTTTAACTGACTCGTTGTCAATTTGCTTCCACACAGGTCTATCAAAGAAGCATCAATTTTACATAATTGCAATGCCTTCTTAACAAAATAAAAATTAAATGGTGATTCCTCATTTAATAGTCACCCATTTGAAAATTTTAACAGGCATAACACCCCCAAAAGTTAAAAGTATAAGCACCGTAACATTTGTCCACAAAAGTTTCAGTCTCATTACTCAATAGCTGGTCGGTGGCTATGGAAAAAAACAAAAATCCATGAAAAAGTTCCAATATTTAGAACCGATGTGCTCTGTCTGTCTGATCATGCCTCTCGGCTTCCTTCTCTCACGTCACAAAATTTCTAAAACTTGAGGAAGAATTGAAATGTTCAGACAACACTCACTCAATACTAGATTCAACTTGAAATTACTGTCGTAAGTATACATTTAATGTTTGAATGGAATATTATGACTTCAAGATCACATACTCGATTTCATATCATTCAAATCAAAAGTTACCATTCCAAACTTAGTAACGACAAATTTCTATGTCATTTATTAAACTAATCACAGTAAACTGTTATGATGTTACTGTAACAACCAATCATTCAATAACGGCTTCAATGATGTCAAAATATTTAATAAGTGAAAAAACAATACCTGAGGGTTCTGCAAGTTGAAGACTATAAGATTTCTATCTGCAGTCCCAACAACCATCAGTGGATGTCTCACTGTAAATGCATAGCAACGCTCAGGAAGTTGTTGAGTATGCACTGGATTTGACTGTCTCAGATCCCAATACCTGAAATCGGGTAATTTATGATTAAAATACTGACTTAACAAAATTATAAGTCCAAACATGAGATGTGCAACAACAAAAAGTCATATAAACAATAAATCAAGTGCAAAGGAAATCAATCAGAGTGTGCTAGAGCATACATTTACAACAGAAAGATAGTTAATAACATAAAATAAAAACTAAACGACGCAGAAGTAAAAGCACTAAAGTCTAGATGAAATATGAGTCACGAATGTTATACTATCAAGGGCATCATCAGTTGTAAAATAGCAAATGTGTTAATGGTTCCTTTCCAAATTCTGTGAGTTTATCAAGATTAGATAATGACACAGATTCAGCTTCTTATCTGTGAAATTTTCCCCAAAGCAATTCACCACAGAAAAGAAAGGAAGGAAAAGAGAGGATATATCTTATTCCTTTAGTTTTTAAGGCAGTAATCTATAAATTTCAAAAGTTTCCTTGAAGCCAAGCACAGAAAAATGCTCTATTTAATTAGAATGAGGTGTTAGCATAAATCTGCATGCAAAATTATACTCTTAGGCATAGTTATTATTTTATAGCTAGAGACATGTGTACATATGCGTCTCTTCTTTCGCATGAAGCACAATGCACAACATACTATCCTACACATAGAAAAGACACAAATAATAGGAAAACTACCAAAAAATAAACTGTTCCAGATGAAGTTGCCTGGAAGGAGAACCTCTATTAACCTAGACTGCAAGCTGTTTTGCTACATAAACCAACAACTTAGCTAAAATTTGAATCAAATATGAATTGATGACAATGTGATAAGACTGTACCATTAAATCCAGCATTTCAAAAGTAAAGAATCATATAGGCGATTTAACATATTAGAGTGTAAATAAATAATAAAAAAAAATCAGAATCAAATTACAGGTTTGAGAACTAAATCAATGCTTACCTCAGAGTTTTGTCCCAGCTTCCACTGACTAAGAGGTTCATCTCGGGGATCCATGCAATTTCCTTAACAGGTGCATCATGCATGGCCACAGTCACTGGTTGGCCACCAGAGAGTAATGGCCACATCTTAACTTGCTTGTCACATCCCCCAGAGAAAACAGTTGTGCCATCATCCTTCCAAGTTGAGCATAAAACCTTCAAAAGATAAAACAATCAATTACCACATTTTCAAACTCAAAATCAGCAGAATAGTTTGCAAACACTCTGGAGATTTGATATGATACCGGCTGGTCATGTGACATTGATGCCTTGGGCACACTACCAACAGTGGTCCCAGTCCGCATTATCTCCCAACATCGCACCTATGGAAATACATAAGACAATATAGAAGCGGAGTTTAGTATATCACAGTAACAAGAAGTACAAGACACCATCTGGATAGAAATAAAGGAATTTTGACAACATAAATGAAACAAAACCTAAGAGCATTTGGCAGCAAGGAGAAAGAGAGAGCTCATGCAGTAGAATAGTCCCCATAATACCTCAAAACATTTTCCAAAAAAACCTTAGTTGGTTGCAATGGGAATATGGGATACTCAAATCACAAAAATTTGGTTATGTTTTGGTCTTGTTCAGGTCTCTTCAAATTTAAATAAAAAAAACCACACATACACACACACACATCGTAGATGTTTTGGCCCAGGTGGATTAAGGTCTTTCTTTCCTCTTCTTCGGTGAAGTATGGCAATTTCTTTTCTTTTTCTTTTCCTTTTTTATTTTTTTCCTTTTTTAGTCTTTTAGAATCTAAAACAGCTAATGCTTTTGATAATTGCTAAAAAAATTTTTTTTTTTTTTTTTTTTTTTTTTTTTGTGAGTCTTTTTGAATTTTTACATTTCAATAAACTTATGCACACAAAGGTCAAATATAAATATTTAACAAATAGGCCTCACACATGTAAGACCCACATGTATGGGATCCATATGTGAGACCTACCAGATATCTATATTGTTAAAATAATCAAAAGTATACAGTGAAATTTATCACAATATTAAAAATAAAATCGTCTTCAGAGATTTTACGCTTTTATTTTACGAAACAATCACTTATTTAATTAAACAAAACATTTTTTTATTTTTTTAGAAGAAACTTGCCTACACTTCTCATCTATTTTTTTTTTAAACCAGTTAATCACTGTTCTTTTTATAGATGTGGTTTGAAAAACTAGATCTGTTTTAAACCAAGTAAGATCTGTATTAAAATCCGTCATCCCTGTTGCCGCTGCCCAACTCTGCCACATCTGCTAGCGTGTTTTGGACTCCGTCACCCACTTCCATCTCCCTTATACCAAGGCCATCGCTCTACCTCCTTCATCTCTACCTTACCCCACAACTGAGAGAGGCATCTCTATCACTCCAAGGACACGATTCTACCTCCATCTCCACTCCATCTCACGACTTGAAGAGGTGACAGTTAGGAGGGTGTCAACGGTTCAATAAGAGAGATGGGGGACAAAATATATGCTTAAAATTGAGAGGATAATTTGTCTTTCCATTTTTACCAAAAGGGTTCTTTTGGGTAATTCTAAATGCATCTCAAAAATTAGTTTGGATACCCCATTAGTTGGAATAACCAAATTGAAAATTTAAATATTTATTTATATATTTATTTGGACATCCCAAATAATTCCTATTATAACCCTAAAAATAAAAATAAAAAATCTTAGAAATTCTACTTTCGACACTCCAATTCTATTAACTTTTTTCATTTGGGCACTCTATGTCGAACAAATTATATATGTCCAAAAACTTAATTTCAAACCTATGAAATTTTTTCGGATAATCAATGCGGAACAAATTAAATATGTTCAGATACTCAGTTCCGAACAATAGAAAATTAGTCACAACATTTTCATTTGAATACTCAGTGTTGAACAAATTACATATGTCTAGATACTTAATTTTGAACCTATGAAATTTATTCGGATACTCAGTTTCGAAAAATAAAAAATTTG